CAATCTGGTTTCAGTATTGACCATCTGGTGATGTCCATGTGTAGAGTCGTCTCTTGTGTTGTTGGAAAAGAGTGTTTGCTATATTTTATGCATGTCGTATTGTGCTGTTTGGGACAAGAATAAATCTTTTACTGCTTTTTCACTGTACAGTGTCAAACATGTATGTATGTATACATGCATGCATGCATGCATGCATGATTTGATTTATATCCCATCACTCCTTTAGGAGCTCAAGACAGCATACATAGCATTTCCCCACAACAGTGCTGTGAGGTAGGCTGGGCTGAGGGACAGAGCAACTAGCCCAAAGTCATCCACTGGGCTTCTGTGGCTGAGAATGGGGTTGAAGCTGGCCTCCACGGTCTAATACCTTAATACCTTAACTGCTTCACTTCACTGGCTCCCTCTGCCTCTTTCTTTCTAAGATCATTATATATGATATCGACTTTCATTTATATTCTCAGAGCACCCAAGAATGTTCAAAGTAATTTCTTTCCCAAGCAGTAACTGGATTCATACTCAGTTTGTATATAATGCTAAACCATAATGTGGTTTGTTTCTAGTTTACAAAAGGCATGAACCCATCTATTACAGAACAGGATGATATGACTTAGACAACAATTCACAAACAATGCTGCTTTAGTATTAAGTGTGAGCTCTTAGAGATCTGCTTAATCATACCAAGATCATTGCAGCAGATTATCTTAAGATAAAACTGCAAAAGTAGTTCCATAAAAGGAATACAGAATTAAAATAACAGTGGTTTTACTTTTCCACTGCTAAAGATAGGATGGATGGATGGATGGATGGATGGATGGATGGATGGATGGATGATTGGTTAGTCTTACAACCATATCAAATCAAATCAAATCAAGGTAAAATACAGGGTCTATTTCCAAGATAAAATAGGTAAAGGAAAATACAATAATAAAATACATATGTGCTAAATACAGTCAATGTTCAGATAAATACATCACCTTTACATGATATCCTGATCTGTTCAATAAAATCCATAGATATCTTATCAGTGCTGGTGGCTTTATAAATCAGCTCTTTCACTCTAATCCTAGCAAGAATATAAATATTCATCCATTACTTTGGAGTAAAATATTCAGACTGCTCAGAACATTACCAGTGGCCGTGTATCCTATGTTTATTATTGAGAAGTCAAGTCTTGAGGTAAGCATGCCTAGAGTTAAAGTCTTCATAAAGCCTCTTCTCAAATTTATTTACAGCCCAAGTATTATTATACACTCTAAGTCCAATAGGCATTAAATGCAATGGAGGTTTGCTAGATAAATTTATCTTGGACTTAAAGGATATACCAGCCTAATATAGCCTATAGCACATTCTTGGCACAAGATAATAATGGTTTAAAATAATTTTTAACTACTAAAGGTGAAGAAATATTACTCTGTGGTAATTTTTAAAAATTATTTCAATAGTTCAGTTCACTGCACAAGCCAGCATGCTGATTGTAGAAGAATGAGTTTGGTTGTTCAACTTTTTAAAAGGTTAGCATGAGGTTTACTTTACAGAGTCAACTTCCGTATCATGGGACTCCTCACCTTTTTTGCCAACGGTTTCCACCTGTTTGACAAACTAAGCTGTCATGACCACCGCTTGCTATATCTATACTAGGTGTCCTCGTAAACAGGTTTTATATATACTTTTCCTCCCTCAGGAATGAATGATAACTGTTCACTTATAAATGAGAAAGGAAGCATGGTGGCATGTGGTTTCCCACATGCACCACTAAATCAGAGGTGCATAACGTTCTCAGGACCAAGGGCCATTCTTGGCCCACAAGTTGTGTGCTTGGGGCCACACTCTAAAAAGTAGCATATGGAGGCATAATAAAAAATTGAATTTTATTTCACATACATTTTCATTAACATTACATATATTTAAGATTTACTTTCCAGTCATATATTTCATACCTTTTCCCTTCCATCAAAATAAAAATTACAATGTTGGTGGTCTGAGTGGGCCAGGGATGCCCTGGAGGAAGGGGCAAAGTTTAAGATGGCAGATTCATCTGCACAATCAAAACCCCACCCCTTTGTTGATGCATTAACAGTGGATACACATACAAAAAGGGCAGAGCTTCAAACACAGTTGTGCCCCCCATCTTGGACTTTCTGAGGGAGGGGCATATGCAAGATTTTCAGGGGGTATAGCTGTACTTCCATAATGAAGTATTATAGCTTTGGTTTGTATAATGGCTTAATGCATTATACAAATACAGGTTCTGTGATTTGTAAACCACACTTTATGATTTAGTATGTTATATGACTCAAACTACCATGGCTCTTTCAAGAAGCCACTGTTAAAGTAAGCCATGCTTTAAAGCAATGCCTGAACCATCCAAAGAAGATATTAATTTTACTCCCAGTTTCTCATCTTCCAATTCAGTGAAAACTGAATCTGTTATTCTCCCCTGCCTTCAATTTTTAATTTGGAGGATTGTTTTCATCACATAGAGTACTTTGTTCAGCCAAAAGAAACAATGGCTGGATTCACATCACATACCAAATCAAAACCAGTACATTATGTGTGAACACTGTGTGTGACCCAGTCTTTTTTGGAGAAGAATAAATGTTGTACGGAAAAAACTATTATTACTCCAAAGCCTACAATATGAAAAATGACAAATATGGTGCCCAGAGTCACCCTCCGGGAATGATAGGCGACATACAAATTAATTAAATAAATAAATAAATTGGAATGCTTTAATGCTTGGATAATGTAATCTTATCTTGCCAGAGTTCTGTTGGGCTTTGTACACTATAGTGTTGATAGATAACTGCTAATATACTTGAGCCTTAAAAGCCATGGCCTGCAAAAAGAAAGAAAGAATAACAAAGGATCAAACATATAGTGTTCAAAACAGAACAATAATCAAAACAACAAAAACAATAATTTAAAAGAGAAGCAAATTATTAATAAAAAAATACAAATGTTTTCCTTGTCTGCAGATAAGAAACAAGTTTAAAATAATCAAAATTCACATATACAAAAATGAAAAGACATCAATTAAAACGGTTACACACTTCTCTAATACTTTTTGATGGCCCACACTCCCATGATAAATACTTTAGTTGGGGGAAAAGCAGAAAATTTTATAATATTGAATTTGGATTGTAGGTTCAACTGTTCCTTATAGATCAGAGTAATACAGCAAATAGATGGTGAATTCCAAGCAATTCGATTTCCTGATATTATCTGAAACGATTACTGTAAGCCACTAAATATATTCTAATTCAAAATCTGTAACTCTGTAAGCTTTAAAATGAGAACTATTAATATAGGTAGCCCCCAGTTTAAGAACAAGTTCTGTTCCCAAGGTGTATCCTTAATTCGAATGTGTATGTACGCCGGAACAGTATTATTATATAATACTCTAAGTAGTATTGTGTAATTAACTCGAACCATTTGTATTTAACTTGAATCATTGTGTATTTAACTTGAATTTTGCTACACAAGGCTCCATTCTTAAACCGGACGTTCTTAACCTGGGGACTACCTGTATTCAGCTAGTCTAAATGTCGAATTCAGTTAAATTCAGTACAGTGTAGTGCAATTTGCACTTAATTCAAACATAAGGGAAACTATTAAATTCATTATAAATAAGATGGACCTTTAACCTCTATGAAAATCAAAATAATTTAATAATTACAATATTTCAGAAACAATAGCAATATTTTAAGAACAGAAAGTAAATTACAATAAGAAAATAATTAATGAGGCCAATAATCTCAGTTCTATTTTGATCCTTAAAATGTACTGTCAACACAAATGCTGTGTAAAGAAAGCTAATGGTTTTTGTGACTTTTTAATTTAGTGGAGGGAAGAGTAAGGGAGGAATCCAATACAAGTAAATAAAATTATGCACAGTGGGGGTAGGGAGAATTTTTTCTCCCCATCTCATGGTACTAGAACCCATAGTTATCCAGTGAAGTGAGATGGTGTGAGATTCAGAACAGCTAAAAAATAAGCTTATCTTTACATCACACACAATTAAACTATGAAATTCACCTATACAAGAAGTTGTGATGACCAGGACAGCTTTAAAAAGGGTTCTGACAAATGTGTGGATAACGTCATCAGGCTACTAATCATAATGGCTATATATTTTTATCTCTGTTAGAGACAGCATGCTTAATACCAGTTTCTGCAAAAGACAAGTAGACAATGCGATTGTCCATCATGTCCTGTTGGTGGGGTTTCTTAAAATCCAGATGACCAGTAAGAGAATAGGATTGTATCTTTTCACTTGAGAGAAAAGAGTGAAAAACCCCAACTTTTGTGGTTTATAAATCATGGTTTATGGCTTAAATGTGTTATATGAACCCAACCAATTATGGCTTACTCAATAAACCATGTTAAAACAATCCATGGCTCAATATAAGAACAAAATTGCTGTGTTCAATACAGCTTAATTCCTAGAAAATGTTTACAATTATAGTCCCTCTATTTATTTATACATTATATAATATTAGAAATTGCACATGTGTTTATATAGCTATTTCATATTGAATTGCCAATGTGTTCCATTTTACTTTACAATCCTAAATGTGTTCATGCTGGAAAAGGTTTCTGAGAAATAAATGAAAATTCTTCTGAATTTTCTAAATCTGTGAAGGACCAGCTGCATAACTCTTTTTTTTTTCTTTTTTTATGTAGCTATGCTAAGAATTTTACTTTTTTACCCATTGATGGATCTCCAGTGGACAAAAATATCAAGGATATAATCTAAGAATTGAGAGCCACTTTGGATAGTGGGTAAGATATCAGGCTAGAAACCAGGAGACCAAGAGTTCTAGTCATGCCTGAGGCACAAAGCCAGCTGAGAAACCGTGGGCCAGTCACTCTCTCTCAGCCCTAGGAAACAAGCAATGGCAAATCCAATTCCTAAAAACCTTGCCAAGAAAACTACAGAAACTAGTCCAGGCAGTCACCAGGAGTCAACACTGACTTGAAGGCGTGTGTACACACACACACACACACACACACACAATTACTGTCTGAAACTTACTTTATCAGTAAGAATGAAGGAAAAAGGTATATTGCATATTATATCTGGCCAATCTTTCTCTGAGATATTTGGGCATATTAGTTTGAGCTTTGGATCACAGCCATGCTAATTCACTTGGAATCTAAGTTGTAATTTAAAACAAATGCCTGTATTTCGTAGAGACTGGTTTTAAGAAGACTATGCAGTCTTTGAGCAGGTGGAAATGAGATTGAATTAAGATCAAGATTTAGAAATTATTACACATACACACCCCTTCTTTTTCTAAAATAAAACTCACAGACTCTTTTCCAAAAGATTAGTAACAGCTGTCATGCTGCATATGCAAGCACCAGCTGTCTGATTCTTTCCCCAGACTGTCAGCTCAGTGAATCTTTTAATGTTATGGGTTTAGAACATTCAGGACATAATTTTCATTCTGTTCAGCACTTGTGAATCAATGTCAAGAATTCTGCCCTCTCAATAATGCATGGGCAATTGCATCACAAGAGATCAGAGCAGGATATGTATAGGAAAGGATTGTTACTTGGACAGAAATAGGTTATGCATCTTGGCATAATTCTTATATATTCTTATGGCATTTTAACTTTTTATTACCAGTTTGTCCAGAATTAACACATCAGCAATGTTCCATACAATCCTGTTTATCTGTGGCTGCCTCCTATCATCTGTTATCAGTCATTCCTTTCAGACAACAAGAAATCTAGAAGTCATGAATGAAGCAAAAACAAACAAACAAACAAAAACAACAGCATAGCATCAACACAGTGATATGGAGAACTTCCAACGTGCACTATAGAATGTGGCAATCTTCTGTTTAAAAGGTTATAAAAATCATTAATCAAAGTCCACACAAAGTTGCATAGCAGAAAAAAAAGTGCCCAGTTGAAATCTTAGCCTGAAGGAACTAAGTTCAGTGGGTGAGAGTTCACTTGATAAGATGGTGCAAGGCAAGCAAAGTGGTTCTACTAGGTGTGCATATGTGCATGTGTAAATTAAGACATCATGTGCTATTTCCAAAGCATAGACTCCTGTGCCAAAATATATCTAAGCCTATGTGTGGAATACTGCTTGTACACTGAATGTGAGGAACTTGTTATGTCCATCTAGGATATTCTTAGGAAAATCATGTTGGCAAATAACTTTACTTCAGCATTTATATCAGAACTGAAGAACTTGTGATCCTTTAGATTTTGTTGGACTTCAGTTCTTATTAATCCTAGTCAGCATGGACAATAATCAAGAATGACAGAATCGCAGAGATGTCCAACACAATGTAGAAAATGCTGTCCATCTTTAATTTAGGATCTGTGCCACATAAAGTCATGTCTGGGTTTGCCTATAATATATGTGTCTTTATTTATTTGACTTATTTACATACCATTTCATATGCTGAAGCTTTGTGAAGCAGCTTACAATACAAATAATAAAATACATTAAAGCAATAAAAACAATGCTCAATAAAATATTAAGGAGGTGAAAGAAAGAAAAAAAAGGTCTTCTAACATTCATTCTGAGTAAGCAGGTACATTTTCAACAGGCACCTAAAAGATTATATTGTATGCACCTCCCAAATTTCAGGGGAGAACATTCCAGAGTGTGAGCACTTCAGTAGAGAAGACCCATCTGCAAGCAGCTACTAGATGGCATTCAGTATCAGAACAACAATAACTAGCTGCCTAGTTCTTTGTACATGAAGTGGGAAATGACTAACCAGGTCTTTAATGGTGAAGGAGGTCTCACCTGGCTCTTCACCCAAGCACTGAGCCCAGCAAATATAGAGTTGGTTGGATGTTGTGGCACTGTGGTGGGATGAATAAACCAAAACTGTAACTTATCTCAGTAGCCGATTGGCAGACATTTGCAGCTGCTTCAACAAAGGGGTACTTGCTTACTTCTCTGCTAGAAGGCATTTTGTCTGAAGTTTCATTTCTTGTCTCATTTTCATTCCCTTATCCCAATGTCTGCTTCCTACAGTATTATTTCTGAAATTCATTACATCATGATTAAAATATCCGTGGAAGCTTCAAATGCTCACATAGCTAAATAGCTTTATGTAAGTTAACTATTCTTCCCAGTTAGTTCTATGTAATGAAGATTAGTACTATAAGGTACTATCAGATATTAGAGAGCCAATTTGGTGTAGTGGTTAAGGTGCTGGCCTAAAAAGCAGGAGACTATGAGTTCTAGGCTTCCTTTAGACATGAAATCTGACTGGGTGACTTTGGGCCAGTCATTCTCTCTCAGCCCAACTCACCTCACAGAATTGTTCTTGTGAGGAAAATAGGAAGCAGAAGTATTAAGTATGTTCACCACCTTGAGTTGACCCAAAATAATAAGAATAAGAATGCCCCAATCAATGTCTTATCAAGCAGGTTTCAAATTAAGAAGGCCAGAACAATAACTGGCAGTCTATTGAGGCTGACAATGATGCAGTGAAACCATCTACAGCATTTGATGATGAACTATGATCAAAATGAGCAAATGCATGCAAGACTGCGTATACAGGAAAAGACAAAATACATACAGAAAGGAGGAAAGTGTCTGACATCTCTAGAAGTCAAACACATTGCCAGCAATCATATGTGGTTTCTTAGATGATTGTATAGTACAATGTGAGAACCCCACCCTTATGTAACATCAGGTTGAAATTCAGGTGGGGGGAACATGTTATAAAGTGGGTCCTCGTAATAAGACTTTAGATGACAATCACAGAGAACAGTGAGGTTCATTCGGGAGGGTTTTTTTTTTAAAGATATCCTGAAGAAAACTTGCCTAGCCATCACAAAGACCCATAAAATCATTGGAAAGAGAAATGTTACAAGAACTGTCTGTCTGTTTGTTTGTTTGTTTATTCTGGGCTAGGATCTTTACTGGTTTTAATGGAAGCACTGTTCTATAAACTTACAACTTCATCTACTCATGCATTTCACTATAACTGATTGTTCAACATACAAGTAGTCCTTGAGTTACAACCACAATAGGGACCAGAAAATTTATCATTAAGCGGTGTGGTCATTAAGCGAGACATCACATGACTGCACTCAATTTTACGACTTTTTTGCAGCAGTCGTTAAGTGAATCACTCAGTTTCCCATTGATTTTGCTTGTCAGAAGCCGGCTGAGAACTACCTGTAGTTCTTCTAATTTTATGCTCAGATGCCAATTCATTTCCATTATTCATGTGTGTTCATATTACCTCTTAGCACTGGTAAGGTACAGGTAAATGGTAGAAAACACACATTGCTCTCAAAAGCCAAACATTACCATTCAGATTATGTTGTTTTCTCAGCTGCCATTTTCTCTGGAATCCTTATCTAAGAAGGACCAGGGTTAGAAGGGAAAGGACTGTGGCAAATTCCTTATTTCATATTAGTGTTGTACACTACTTCTGCTATTCCCTCTTTTAACTTGCATATAAGCTTTCCTAACCTATGCCCTCCAAATGTGTATGTTTGTATCTCACACTACCCCCAACCAACATTAGAAAAGGCTGCAGTATACATGTTCTAGCTAGAACCTTATGGAAAGGGCTGTGTTATATAAAGATTCCAGAAGAAAGTGCTGTTATATCACATCTTTAGCACTTTAATAAACATTGAGGAAGGTTATGCTTAGAACAGATACATTTTAAACTGATTAGGCCACTATTTTTGCCACTCCTTCATCACAGCAAATAACGAGACCAAGACTGAAACAACAAAGTCATGTCTTGTCCGTTCCGCATAGGATATTTACCAATATGACAACAACTTTCAAGTATCTAAAGTGTTGTCACAGAGAAGAAGGAGTTGATTTATTCTCTATTATTCCAGGATATAGGACCAGAATCAATGGGTTAAAACTACAAGAAAGAATATTCCAGACTACCTGAGCAGTCAGCCAGTAGAAAAGTCTGCCACAGAACCCACAATGTGGCAAATTTTCTTGCTACAGGTCTTCAGAGTTTGGATGGTTGTTCTCAGAGATTCTCAGTGCAGGGATCGGGCTTGATTACCTAATTACCTTGATTAACTTTATAATTCTGTGAATTATCTGTCATGTATTTCCAGGGATCATGTCTTCAAAGTGCAGTTCTGCATTAAATACTGCCCTCTCCCCATCCCAGATTCTAAATTGCTGAAGTTAATACAGTAACTCTGAAAGACTTCATGATGTTTTCTGGAATGTTCTTTCTTTTTATTCCTTACCCATTCTTCTAGTTACACTTACTCAATGCCCATTTTATATTGTTAGAAGCTTTATCTTTTGGAGCCAACTAAGGGCAAATATAATCTGATGATTAAATTTAAAAACTTGGCCTTCAATCTGCAGTTGAAGGGTAGCTATCCTATATCAAGAATCTCAAGAAATTATTATTTGTGTGAACAATTATCAAAAGGAAAGTGGAGAGATTTATGAGTAAGCCTAGCTGTCTTTGGTAAAGTTCTGATGCTTGCGACATGAGATAGAAATCATAAATATGTTTTTCCTAATGATTTCTTAATGATAAATATAAGCCAGTGGTGAAGATAAAGGAACTGTCTTTTTTTCAGAAGCTGTTGCAGTATTGCAATGCAGCCATTGCTTTCTGATTCTGCTTATGCAATTTAACTCTGTTTAGGAAGGCTGGAATCTTATAATCCTCTCACCTGGGAATAAGCTTCCTTTAGCAAATTTGGACTCAAACCTGAATTTTAGGATTGTACTGTCCAGGTAGCAATTTATCCAAATATTCAATACAAAAAAGTTTTTGTGGAGATTTTTTTTTAATTGGCTAGGAAAAAAGATGGAAGACCTTGTGGCAAATACATTGTTTAATTCTCTATATGAAAGCTGCAATCAAATACTAGTCTATGTCAGAACAAGCCCCACTGAATCTAGGGTGACTCATGTCTGAGGAGATGAACAGCTTTTTAAAACCACACCCTTATTTTTGAGTAGGTAAGCAGAGAAGTATGCAGCTACAGCCTTTGTGTTAGTAAAATTCATTTGTGTGTCTGTGCATCTACTTTACTTTTGGTTACAATAAGCTGGAATATGAAACTTTTCCTAGAATTCTCCATCCCTGGGGTAAAAAAATGAAGTAAACATAAACCTGACCTCCCCTCTACCATCCACACATTATTTAGATATCTTGTTTGGTTGGATTATCCTTTTAGGGCTCCAGAGAGAGAACAGTACCAGAGGAGAGGCAGAGGAGATAGGACTGAAAATAATGCTGTGTGTTGTGCTATGTGAGACACATTGAAATAACCTTGTCCCTATTTCTGATTCTGAAATGTTGACAGGCGTAGCATGCTATGAGAAACTGTTCATATTAATTTTTCCATGACCCATCACTGATCAGCACCTACATCTCAGTTGTCAACTTTTTCCCTTCTTGCTTACATGGAAAGAGTTTAACAGTTCAGGCTTGTAAATATTTATCCAAAATAAGCTTTACCTATGACAATGACATTTATTCCTATGGGAGTACAGGGTTACAATTTTAGGCTTGTTTCTCACATTCCAAAACTGAAAACTTCTCTCCATTAATTTATCTTAGATCAGGGGTGAGCAGTGGCCCCCAGCACCCTAAGATCATGCCAACTGAATTTGGTGGCCAATAGCTAATTTTCAGTGGCACTATTTGGGGAGACTTCTAATAAACAAGCAGCTTCACCTTCTGTCATTTCTCTCCATCCTCCTTCTGCCAATAGTCCAAAATCATGCCACTGAAATCTGTATATTTTGCAGCTGAGTTTTGGTAGTATGAGTCAGGCCATTTTGCAGAAAGGAGGCAGTCTGAGTTTTTAAAAGGTGGAAATGGGAGAACTTTTGCTCCCAGAGGCTTTCTGCTCCAATTCCCATCTTAAAAAAAAAAATAAAAACTCTGAAAAACAGGCTCTAAACAATTGGCCCAGCCCTTCCTTGTAACATTACAACCCTCTGATGATGTCACCTGCAGAGATCAAGAATTTTGGTGAACAACAAAAGGAAAATAAAAAAGAAAGGTGACATCTAGTGGATTAATAGAAACATAAAACAGGTGTGCTTTTTTACCCCATATAATTGTAGAACAATTAATTATTTCCTTTTTTAATTAAAACTTTTATTAAGATATATAAAAAGCACAGTTAAAATACAAATCAGAAAGTATAG